GCTCTCCTGTGACTGGGCACCCTGGACTCCGGAGTTTATAACTCTCTGACTTCTCAATATTGAGCCTCCAGCAATTCATCAATTATAGTTTAGGCATTTCTACCTTGATACTGATTTCCACAGAGGTTTCTGCTCATGAATTTCTACTCTGGTAAGTTGTGATTTCCCTATATCTGTCTGCTTCTCCAATTTGGGGGCAACAGTTATACATATATGCATAAGTACCATATGATGTCTTGATTTATATTTCAGTCTTTCTTTTTCTTTGTCCTTTGCCTGGACCCCTCTTGCTTCCTCTACATGCATTAGTGTCACTCTACCAACAACCCAGGTAACGTGAATAATTTAATATGCATCCTTCCATGATTTTTTTTCTTTCACAGACCTATATATCTGTTTATACATATATATTCAAAGTTATTTGACATGGTTTATTAGGAAGATCATATTATGTATGTTTTTCAGCATGTTACCTTCTTCCCCAACCAAATCTATTGAAAGTTAGTGTAATTCAGCCGAGATTAACTTATTCACTTAATGTCTGCATAATAGACAATAGGAGGATATACCTTTAGTATATACTAATATACAATATTAGTATATTACAATATTATACAATATTGTATTATACAATATACAATATTATACAATATTAGTATATTACAATATTAGTATATAATATATAATATTAGTATATAGTATATACTAATATACCTTTAGTATATTTAGTATATTTAGAAACCCTACTGTATTCTCAATATAAGTTCTCTAGACATTTCCATTAACATTGTCAAAAAGCTGTTGGTGTTATTATCCAGGATTTAAGAAAATGATCTGCTCAACATGCATCATTCCTGGAATCAGGAAACTTGGGTTTAGTCTTCACATTCACATGTTACACTTTCACAATTGTCAGTAAGCAAATTCTATAATTTCAAAACCTTATATATCTCAATAGGGAAAAGAAGGTAAGAAAAAAATGTGTAAAAATCCAAAATTAGCTGCTTCACAAATTGGCCAGATAATGAAACATAGTTTCCTTATGCAAAAGAAAAAAAAACCTTAATAAGGTAGAAAACAGCACTTTACTTATACTGCTACCACCCATCATCTAAGTAAGAGATCGTGGCAGGAAGAATTTTAAGAGGGCTCCAATATTATACTTATAGTTTATATACCCTGTAGAATTCTTTCCCCTTGAGTGGAGTGAAACTGTGAATATGATGAATTTCACTGCTATGATTGTGTTATATGATGCAGGTGAAGGCTCCACACCAGCTGATTTTGAGTTAATTAAAAGGGAAGATATCCTATGTAAGCCTCACTTAATAGGGTATCAGTCTAAAAAGGAGTCAGAGATTGGAAGAGAGAAAAATAATTTATTCTGCCAATTTTAGAGGAGAAAACAACCCGTATTGTGAAAGGGCACAGTGTTTGGTCCTGAGGATGGTCTCAGAACTGGGAGCAACCCTGGCTAGGAGCCAGCAAGGAAATGAGGACCTCAGCTCTACAGCTGCAAGGAACCACAACCAATGAGGAGCTTGAGGAGGACCCCAAGTCACAGATGAGATCACAGCCTGAACTGACATTGTGTTTTCCTCCTTGTGAGAAAGAATCCAGTGCCATGCCTGAATACTGAACCTACAGATGATAAATGAGCATTTTTTAAAACACCAAGTTTGTGGTAATTGATTATGCAACAACAGAAGACAAACACAGTGATCTTGAACAAGATATAAAGTCCAGTCTTTCCACTATAAAATGAGATAGTAAGCCCAAATTACTGGTTTTCTAGTTATAAAACACTTTATTTTTATGATTCTATCATAGATAAAAATCAAAGTTCTGTTTCTGTGATACTATCAGTTAACGAATTGATAGCACTTATTTAAGCATGTAGCACTAGGGAAGGACAACCTTCCTTTGGAACACGGTTTATTCACAACCTGCAATTTGAGGGTGTTATTAGAATGAATTGACAGATTATTTAAGATCTGGCACATATAGTTTGTATTATGTATGTTAAATTTTAAATTCCAGGCAGATATACAAAGAAAGGTTTGTGTTATGGGGTTGAATGGAATGGTTAGCTATTGAGCAAGGGTGTGAGGGAAGATAGTTTTTGAAAGTACAAATTAATGCAATAATCTATTTCTTCACATTGACCATGAGCAGCAATGGTTTTAAGGTAAATTGTTGGAAACTGACCTCTAATCAAATCAATGTGAAGCTGAGTTTGAATTTGTGGTAGTTGCATATACATCCTGTGTGAGGACTCCAAACAATAGAACTTGTTGCATAGGACCAGCACCTTTGGGGGTGCTTTTGCTGTATTTCACCCATTGGAGGATGTGGTTTGTAAAATGATGAAATTTTTAGCATGGCTTCTGCTCATCCTTTCAAAAGTAGATTAAGAATTTTAAGAGAACCCTATTAAAATAACAACTTGAAATGGTCTTGGACCACACACTTCTTAAAAAAAAAAAAGTGAATACACAGAATTCCACCCCAGAAAAAATATCTGTATTCATTTCCTATGGCTGACATAAAAAAATCCCAGAAATGGAATGACTTGAACAACAGAAATTCACTATCTCACAGTTCAGGAGGTTAGAAGTAGGAAATGAAGGTGAAGGCCATGCTACCCTCAGAGGCCATGGGGAGAACCTTCTTTGACTCTTCCAGCTTCTGGTGGCTGGAGCTTTTCTTAATGTTCCACTTCATTCCAGTCTCTATCTTGTCTTCACATCACCTTCTCCAAGGTATGTATTTCTCAGATTTCCTTCTATCTTTCTTCTATAATTGTATTTGCCATTAGATTTAGGGTCTTCCTGTATGACCCAAGATGATCCCATCTCAAGATCTGTAACTTAATTACATATGCATATTTTTTTTTTCCAAATAAAGTCCCATTCAAGGATTGCAGAGAATTGCACTTATCTTTTCAGGGCCTCCATTCAACTTGTCTCCTTTTATTATTGTCTCTCATGAGTTGAATCATTTTCCTCTTCTCCCCTGTGTTTTCTTATTTTGAAGTCCTAACCACTACTAGTACAGAATGTGATCTTATTTGTTGCAAATGTAACTAGTTAAATTAAGATAAGGTCATTTGACTGAGTCAATATAACTGGTATTCTTGTGAAAAGAAGAAATTTGGACACAGACGTAAAAACAGGAAAAAAGCCATGTGAAGAGAAGGCACAGACCAGGGTTCTGCTTCTACAAACCAGGGAGCACTAAAGATGGCCAGGAAATCAACAGAAATAAGTAAGAAGCATGAAACACATTCTCTCTCACAGTCCTCATAAGGAACCAACTCTGAACACCTTGATCTTAGACTTTCAGCCCTCCAGACCTGTGAGATAATAAATTTCTTTTGTGTAAGCCACCCATTTTATGTGGCTTACACTGAGACATATACATTTACAAATGTCATTTTAAATGGTGATACTCAACTTATAATAATGTTGCATTTTACCTATGAATAATTCATGGAAAGTAGGCTTTTATTTTCTACATTATATATAGCAATAACAAATATGTAACTCTGTCCATATGTCATTTCTCATTTTGTACATTTCCTTTGGATACTTCTAAGAAAGGGGAATCCTTCATCAAAAGGTCTAGAACAACAAAAAGAAAAATGTGTTGCTAAATTGCTTTCCAAAGAGTTCCAACAATTACCTTACATGTGCTATGTGATGAGTGATTTCTATGTTTTCTCACCAGCATTTGACAGTATCATTTCAAGGACTGTCATATGTTTTGAGGACACCTTCAGATTTACTCTTGGGGGACAGAGAAGCAATGATGAGTAGATTTATTTGGTCCTAACTTTTTCTCTCTCTTGCTTTCAGGCAGTCACCAGAGGGAAAGAGTCACAGTGTCTTTAAGTTACATTATTTAACAGTAGCAGAGAATTCAAGATCCTTGTGATTTTTTTTTTTTTTAATGCATGAAGTTACTCGTTTCAATAATGCTAACCTTCATGAATCAAAATTTACTTAATTGAAAGCCAAGTGTTATAATGAGAATCAGAACAACTTATATGGCAATATTCTTTTGGTTTCTCTTAACACAGCATATTTATTTAGAGATTTACCTTACATATTGTCTAGGGAATTAATATGGGCGTTGGCCATTTTTCAGCACTTCCTGGTTGAGGGCAAGGGCTCCACTCTGGTGCTAGTCCTTCCCTCTACAAGTCTTTCTTGACAGCTCCAGCTTTTCTGCTTAGAATTTCACAATGACCATTTTTTTTAAAAAGCTATCAGGCTAATAATAATTTTTTAAAAAGCATTTTAAATCCGGAGAAGTGCTCCTGGACGCAGCTGGCCCAGGCTGCTGTTCCTGCAGCTCGCATTGTGATCCTTCCTAGTCTCCTACCCACATACCTATCCCACCCGCACCACAAGCAAGCAGAGCCTGATATCTGCTCTTCAAACCCAGAATATGAGTAAACCGTGCCTCCCGTCCTCCCCATCACCTCCCTACACTCCCGCCCCTGGATTTTTAAAAAGCTTGTCGGTCATTGCAGGGCGCCTCCGAAGCGTCTGGAGTAGGTACAAGAGCATCCTTCCACGGGGTGTGCGAAGAAGACAGGCTGGGGAAACTGGAATCTGTGGCTGCCTTCTCTGCTAAGGGGGTGGGGAATGGTTTGTCCTCCAAGCGTTCAGACCAGAACCACCCTCTCTTCTCTGCCTCCCTCCCTCCACCCCCCCGCCCCAATCTTTCTCTTTCAAGGCAAGAGAACTCCCCTTTTCCAGACCAGGAAGGGGCGCCTTTCCAGCTAACTTTCCCCTCACCCACCGAATAAAAAAACATGAGTGGTGGGGGGAAACCCATACAAAAACCCTGGAGTAATAGAGAGTGGATCGGCTTGGTGCTCAATGAATGGAGGCTGCGGGGCGGGCCTGCGTGCACAGCCGCCCTGCCCACGATGCTGTCGCCCGGAGGCCTGTAGGGCCCTCACGGCCCCTAGCCCTCCTCCCGCCCCGGGCAGAGGTTGCCGACGGCTCTGCGCCCAACGACGACAGGGAAGGTCGAGGGAGGGTGGTTTCCTCCCGCCCCACACCCAGTCTCCGAGCCGGATATATACAGTGTCACGTTTGGGAGCAGAAAGACCAGAGCAGTTTCCTTGTGGCTGGAGTACTTCCCGTAGCCTCCGGGAAGGACCGGGATTTAGCGGACCACTAGTTGAAACCCACCCCCGTGCTGGAGGAGCAGGTATTCCAGGGTCCCCTGCCCTTCCGCTCGCTGAGCCCACGCGCTCCGAAGGCAAAGACCGGGCTGGGGGTGGCCCTCCCCCGGGAGGGAGGGATCGGCTGGGTTAGCAGGGAGGGGCGGATCCCTGAGGGACCTCGAGGAGGGTGGGCATGAAGCCGGGTGGGAGGAGAGAGGCATTTGCAGTGGTTCTGACCCCTAAAGCGGCCCCCAGCCGCACCCCAGTCGCCACTCGCCTGTAGGCACGTTTGGCTTTGGCAGAGCGCGCCAAGGTAGGGTGCGCAGGGGGTGAAACCGCGGTGAGCCTGGGAGGGGCAGAAAAGGTTAATGTGGAGGACCTCGCTCTGGTGGCTAGGGACCAGGGAGAGAGGCGTCGGAATGGGTCCCACGTAGGCCTCCTTGGCCCCTGGCGCTATTCCTGGAGAGAGCGCGCAAATTCTGGGGCCACGTGTCGAGCGGCGCCTGCAGCGGGTCCCCTCCAGCCCCGGGACAGCCTGGACGTGCTGTCCCGGCCCGAAGCGCGTCCTCGATCGCCCCTGGCCCCACCCCTCGCTGTGCACGTTCGGACCCTCCCACTCAGGACTAGCCAGGGTAGCCCATCCGAGGCTGAAAAGCACCCGGGCAGTAAAGTGAGGTTGGAAGTTTTTGACCTCTTCCTGTGTTTGAGGCAGCGCGGGGAGAGCAAGAGAACAGGTTCCTGAAGACTCCAACTGAAGTAGATGGCTTTCTAGAAAGCTGCTCGCTCGCAGCGAGTAAGAGTACCCGCGGGACAATTGGGGTCAATTAGATAAAATTCCTGTCCAGCCTTATTCTAGAAATTATAGGAATGTGCCTTTCCTGACAATATCTTTACTTTGTCACTTCTCCTGGCAAGTAGGATTATGAACATTTTTTTTTCCTGCCATGTATGAGTTACCTAGTGTGAGCATCCAAGGTTATTGCTGAATCTGCAAGACTTTGGCAACTAGTTCTTTCATGTGCATGAAAGAGGACATAATGGGAATAGCAAAGTGACTGAAAACTCAAGTGGATGGTGTTTTTCTGCTGGTTAGATGCTGTGTCCAGAGAAGTTTGACACTGTGCAAATGGAAATTTGAGAATTACCCTGTGGTTTCCATTACCCTTCTCTATATTTCCATTTACATGAGTTGGAGATTTGACTCAGGTGCATATTTAGTACAAAAGCCATAAAGTAGGACAAAGGAACTAAATAAAAACGTAAGCCAGGCTGTCAAAGTGTAAGAGTGACATCTTAACAAACTTCTAGGGATATTTGTATGTGGAATTTCTAGAGATGGCCAAGAAGTTTTAACTGGCAAAGAGTCAAGTGTCCTGACATTTTACTTGTAGTGTTTCTAATAATTCAGGTCTTTCCCATTGCTTTTTAAAAATTTACCTTTATTTATTTATTTTCATGTGGTGCTGAGGATCGAATCCAGTACCTCACATATGCTAGGCAAAGGCTCTACAACTGAGCCACAACTCCAGCCCCAGTCTTTCCCCATTTTTTGAGGACATCTTCTGCACTTGTTTTGTCAACAGATTCCTACCTTACTCTGATTTCTAATATTTGGTTCTAATAAATCACCATGATTTGGTAAGTCTTATCATCACTGGAAAAAATTAATGTGATAATCTACTTTCCCTTAAAGGAAGCTAAACATAACCCAGCCTCAGAAGAAGATGAAGAAACTTTCTTTAAGGGCTGAAAAATAAATAGTTCATCTGTGGGTATCACTGAGATATATCAAGAATATGGTCATCTGAACCATCCCATCTCTCCATTGCCTTTCTGAAGATGCCTTCTTGAGTGTAACATCTAGTCAGCCTTAAAATTGCTTGTTTTTTGTATTAACTCTCAAGTGTTCACAAAAATTCACTTACTCACAAATACGTTCTCATGGAGGATCATACCTAGAACCGCCACACGCTTGTACCTGCCAATACATTCTGACGTTGTAGTCTCTGTAGGATCATACATCATTCTTGAAGAAATGGTCTTAATGCCTACTTTCATTAACAGACCTCTTTTGAGTATGGGTTAAAATGGAATATAAAAAACAAACATGTGCACATTAACACAGAATTCTGCTTACACTTTGAGGAGTTCACAACCTTGTAACGTTCAAACGCCCCCATTCTAGACATCCAGGGACTCCAGGCAAGACCAGCTGTGTGGAAGGACATATTTAATCAATAAAGGGCACCTGTTCCTTATCAAATTGTCTAGTTTCGTGGAACCCTACACTTAAGAGGGCAATCTGTTTAATATTTTGCTGCCACTGTCTGCTACCTTATTTTTCAAACAAGGGGCTCTAAATTTTCACTTTGCACTGGGTCCTGCATATTATGCCATGAACCCAGGCTGACAATCTCATTCCAGAACTTACCAAATAACAACATCGTCTTACAGAAGTTCCATTTTTAAGGTGACTTCACCACCACAACCTGGAATTTAACCTCTGCTTGCTTAGATATGCTCAGGCATGTCATTAAGCTTGTCTTTATCTCAGTTTCCCCACTGACAAAATAAAGACAACAGATGATACTCTATTCTATTTATCTTAGAGGTGGTTGTGTTATCTTAGGTAAAAAGAAAATAATTATAAAAATGTTTACTGGTGTCAAATAATTTCATGCTAACAAAGATGGCATTATTACAGGCTTACCCTTTCTACTCCATTTTTTCAGAAGTAGCTTTAGGAAGATAGGTTAAGTACCTTATAAAGGTTTTGGAGTACAGTGTACCAGAAATCATTCTTAATTTATGTTACAAGATACACAGGCTCATGTTCTGGGACTATCACTAATTCTTTTCATAACCTTTAATAAGTCACAAATTTTCTGTGTCAGAGCTATCAATTATAAGATGGTAATAATATTAGCTATTCAGTATTCCACACAGGATTGTTTTAAAGACTAATAGAAATTACACACACACACACACACACACACACACACACACACACACACACATACATGCATTTCAAAGCATTTATAACCCTATATTTTGGTAAAAATAAAATAAAACAAAGTATCTAAGTAGTATTCAGTATTTTAAATATTCCTAATATTATTATTTGTACAAGATTGGAACAGGCAACTGAAGGTAAACAATAACTTCTTGGATCCCAAAGACAATTCCTGAATTAAATTAATGTTTGCATCTAAATCATCCACAAATTAAACAATGAGAAAGTGAGTCAATAATTGAAATTTTCTTTAGGAGGTAGTTCTCCATGCTTCATTTAATTCTAAAAGTCCAACACATTCAAAATCTTGATCAAGACACCATCGTAAATATTCTAGGACATATTTAATCAATAAAGGGCACCTGTTCCTTACCAAATTGTCCTTATCTCTGTATCTCTGGTGCCTGCTAAGGAGGAACCAAGAAAACTCAGGTCAGTCCACTGTGTCCACTCTTCTCCGTTGAGTCCTTCTCTGTGATGTCAGAAATTTTCTGTATGCCACCTTTCCTTTCCAGCATGATGGCAGTGCAGTCAGAACTCTTGAAGAAAACACAGTAGAAGGAAATGGATCAAACTCCCATCACAAGATCTCATAATAGAGGCAACTAAGAGTGGTGGATGACAATGACTTCTTTCATGCACCCACTCTAGGCAGGGGCATGCATTGTACATTAGGACAGTACTTACCAGGTCCTGCATACAATAAACCTTTGACATCATTAGCAAGACAAAATAGGCAAATATAAGGTATTAATTAACAATAGCAAATAAAGTATTGCAGGGAAAGAGAACATTAGGCACCAAATGTGTGGTGCAGAAAATAAAAGCAATGGATTTCCCAGAAGAGAATGAAATAAACCGAAATTCTGAGAAAGGCCTAAATTGAAAGGTATAAGACATGACTGTTAAAGTTCTGGTCCTCACAGAGATGAACAAATTATGAAACTTGTGGTTGATAAGTTTGTAAAAAAGAGGAAGTCAGATGGAGCTAGAGTTGCAGGTAAGGAGAAGTCAGGACCTAGAACTAATAGAAATCCCTCCCAGCTGCCTTCATGCATGTCATACATTTTTATTAAAGCCATTCTGTGACCAGACACCATGGCAGTTTCCCACATTTAGTGTGGAAAACAAAGCAGATGTTAAGTTCCCTTTTGGAATTTACAGACATTTACAAAATAAATGTATAGTAACAAATTGTGGGAAGTAGTATGGAGAAGAATGGAGTGCTAGGAGAGAAAACTGGTATTGATCAGCACTCTGGGAAGGATTCTTTGACAAAGAAATATTAGAAAGGAGCATAGGAGTTGACTCAAGAGACACAGAGAGAGAGAAAGAGATGCATCTGGGCAGAGGAAACTGCAGATGGGGAGGCCCAAGGGAGAAAAAAAGGCTGAAAGTGTTCAGGGTACAAAGACAGCACATGTGGCTGGAGTGTGTGAGTTGGTATCTGAGCTGCTGCATGAGAGTGTGGGGAGGTGGGGAGGATGTGGATCCCACTCAACTCCACAGGTCTTCATCAAGTTTTTGACTTTCATCTTAGAGTTAAGCCTTGAAGACTTTTAAGCCAGAGACTGTCCTAAATGATATTTTAAGGAAGTCTATTTGGAGTCAGTAAGGAGAATGGACTGGAGGGCAAAAGGCTCAGACGTAGGATGAACAATTAGGCACAGGGTACAGGCAAGCCTGCTGACAAGGAAAGGCCCTAAAGTGCAGAGACTTGAGATATAACTTCAAAGTAGGATTGATGCAGTGGGTGACAGGTCGAATATAGGGGCTGGGCAAGTCCGGAAGAAGTATGAATGAGTTCCTTCAGTATATACTGCTTAACTTTTGAATCCGAAACAATAGGCTCACGTGCATGTAATTTAGACTTGCCATAAGAAGAACTGAAAAACAAAGCAGAAAGTGACCCCTCTAGAAAGTGTACTGGCTATTGGGCTAGGAGTGAGAAAACATTTGCTTTTCATGCTGTCCTCTGTAAGGTTTGAGTCATTTTAAAACCATGATTGCATTATTTAATTTTTTAAAAAT